TATAATGCAAAAATCCGGTTCCCCACAAAACCCGGACCCTTGCCTCTCGCCCATGATGTGCCACGCTTACCACTACACCCAGCCGCCGTTGAGGAGTGGTCTGCTTCCATGTAATTTAAGTTTTCTCATGTAATGTCACCTAAAACCACCCTCATAACTCCGTTCAGAGAATCGCTTGGCAGATTTGGACAGCGGATTTGAACTCAGCGCCCAAAAACACGTCTAGCAGTATAGGTCTTATTTCAAATGGCCACTTCGAGTTGGGATCCTTCTCTGGTAAGAAGACTAATGAAGGCTAATGATACAGCGACATCAGGCAAGCATTCACGAGAGGAATTTAAGCGAAGAAATTCGTATTGCCGTGATTGTCAGATAGGTAGTTAAACGATGAGCAATTCGAAACATACCACGTTTGGTGGCGTACTGAAGTGTGCCTGAGTAGATTGCAGTCCAGGAGCTGAAGTCGCCACCGAGTAAGTGAATGAAGCTTTCTCTTCTCGCACTGGGTGGATCTCCCGTTGAGGCCGATTGGATGCGTTGGGATCCGGTAGTGGCCGCGGAAGATGGGTAAACAGATGATTGAAAAGAGGTACTGTTCCAGTAATTGGTGGTTGAAATGTCTGAAACAAAGTTGAATCAAGCGAACGCTCACTAAATTCATTCGTAAGGTTTGGGAGCAAGCACCGTTGGAGCAACACCAGAAACATGAGATGGGAGACCATGTAGTTGAGCAAACTGGTTAAATTGATTGGCGTTCCCCTGAAAATTGGCTACATTCTGGAGAAGGATTCTACTTCTTTGTTAAACGTACCTGTTCAGGAGTTATAAAATTCTGTTGCAGCTCGCGCGAGGCCTGCACTATTCGTTCACGATTTTGCTGTTTTTTCAGTGGGATGTTCTGCACAGCCGAGGTGAGATCGATCCTTGTCGGTGAAGGAACGTTGTCGTTGTGCTCAATCTGAAGATTCACTATTCACAAGGGATCTGCTAGAAAGTGTCCCAAATAGAGCTTAACCTTGACCAACCTGAGAAATGATCTCCATGATGTCGGATTCCTTGAGATTACTCTTACGCAAGACCTCGAGAAGCTTTGGAAGATTCGGAACGCGGTTCGGCAAATTTGTCACTGGAGCTGTCGCAGGTATCAGCTGAGCAACAATTTGCTGTCTTTCTTCCAAATGAACCAGTTGCTAATATTTCCAAACGGAATGTGTCAACAAAAACGAACCAAATTTTCGTCGTCATCATTCCTGACCTTATTTGTAACTTGAATCCGCGAAATTCCATCGGTTTTCACCTAGGTTGAGCTGTTCGTTTATTGTCGTTTCATACGGAGCCTCTCATCGTGCTCGACGATGATCAAATCCTTTTGCATGCGCAGTTTTGAACGCATTCCCATGCACTACTCGCCTGACTATACCGCGACTTAGGGAGTGAACTCCTGGAGTCACCAGTCTTCCACTTTACACACCACCACTTGTAACAATGTAATGCTTCATGTTCTTTCGTCGCTTTTGAGTGATTGAGAAACGTGCCCTTCGTGTCTATGAAACGATCGCGCAAACAGCTGAAGCGCAGCCTCTGCCCCAAACCTTGGGCAACAAAAATGTAGGATGGGTATAAAAACGGGACCAGCTATTAGAAGGTAGATATGAGGGTGACTCGTAATTTGTCTCGGTCTATGCGGCTGCTTCAAACATCTTCGTCCAGAACAGAAAAATTTTCCCAATCAAAATATATGTCTTTTATGGATGCTTCAATCGCTGGCCTACCATCTCAACGCGTTGGGTGAGCGAAACCTGCGGCGTGTGGACGTGTCCGTCACTTTTATTTACCCTAAAATTCCATAGATAAGAGCGGTTGAAACTACCGGTGAAAAATGAATTGGAATGAA